CCCAGCCAGCCATGCTGGCTGGGGAATTCTGGGAGTTGAAGTCCACTCATCTGAAAGTTGCTAAGGTTGAGAAACACTGCTCTGTCCTAATCTGTGAACATAAGCAGCATTTGAAGCCCTTGTTATCACCTCAGCTGCTTGCGGGACACATTCCAAATTAAAGTTGGGTGGCAACTTTTGGAAGAACTCCCAGAGACCCCTCCAAGGATCCCAAGGGGCATAAACCGAAGCAGCACCTGAAAGCAACGGGAGGGTGAATCAATCTCTGCGACTGTGTTCTATTCTGTACCACTGTGTGGAATCAGGAGCTAGATGGGTTCCCTCTGGCAGGTGCAGCAAACAAATCTCCCCGGTCACTTTCATCCTCTCCAAGTTAATTCCTGCTTCTCCGGCGCTCAGCAGGTGGCCACATCTGACTGACTTTGTCTGGCCTTGGAAGCTGAGCAGAGTTGAGAACGTTTAGTACTTGGATGGAAGACTATCCAGGAATTTCAAGCACTAGGCAGAGGTGTCCATGAGTGGTGGTGGCTGCCAGTCTATGATTGTATATGGACTTAATCACAAGGAATCAAGCTTGACTTGATGGAGACCTTGCCTTGAAAGCAGCAGCCTCCGTAGCGAATATATGTTGACGTATGCATAGAGGTTTCATCCATAGATGTTGAGCTACCTACTTGGGTCCTGACGTCTGAAGCAAACGTGTCCCTTGCCTTAAATGTGTTTTCCCTCTCCCCTTCTATTTATTCTTTCTTCTGTTTATGGGCATAAAGAGGCAGATGCCAACCAACCAGAAGGGGTCCTGTCCTGCGAGTTGTCTATGAACCCCTTGTCCTCATCCTGTTACAGAGCAAAATCGTCCCGAGTCATCAGCTTTGAGGAGTTCAAACGGGCCTTGGAAGAACTGGCACCAAAGCGGTTTAAGGACAAAAGCAATGAGGAGGCTTTTGAATCCATCTGCCAACTGGTGGCAGGCAAAGAACCCACCAATGTGGGCGTCACTGTGAGTGTTGCTCCCCTCGGGAGGGAGGGTAGAACAGGATCCCACAGGAGTCAAGGACCATGGAAAATGGCCTATGCATACCAGATCTAGGGGATGGGCAGGTTCTAAGATGTGGAAGAATATTGGGTTGGTGGCTTGCTGGGAATTTTGGGAATTGTAATCCTAGCATTGCTGAGAGGAGTGAGTCCATGGGAACTTGGCAGTATAATAAGTAAATGCATAAATAAGGGAGGAAGGCAGTCTTACGAGGATAGTCAATGTTGGCTGGCTAGAATCTATACTTCATGCTTTTTGCAGAGGGCTGAGGACCACAGTGGGGGAAATAGATTTCCCTTTATTTCCTTTTTCTTTGATGGGAGGTCTTTAGTTTTTTTTTTTAAATCCATGTTAAGCCTTTTAGAAGTCACAGAAATCATAGAATTGAAACGTTGGAAGGGATCACGAGGATCACCTAATCCGACCCTCTACAGTGTGCAGGAGAACAAGTTAAACCGTCCATGAGAGGGGGATGTCCAGCCTCTTTGAAAAACCTCCAGAGGTGGAGAACCCACAACTTTCCATATGTTGTACAGAGCTTACTGTCAGGAAGTTTTTCCTTATATTCAAACAAAATGTAAGTCGCTAAAACATACTAGGTCGTGTATTGTGTTCCTGTTTCCCATGATGGGAAACCACCCTTCCAATGTTTAGCAAATGTGCCACTGAAATTTGATGGCTTGGTTGGAAGAGTTTGGGGAAGGCCATGAAGAAATGGTCCAGGATGGCATACAGCTCTAGGGTTGTGGATTGCCCACCGTGTCTTACTAGATAGGCGGTGTGAATGTTCAAGCTCCACTCCAGAGTGGCAGTGATGGTGATGGCAGTTGGGCGTTGGTCAAAGATGGATTCTGAGCTCTGCCCTGCCTTTGTGATTTTTCAGAAAGCCAAGGCTGTGGGGGCTGTGGAGAGGCTGACGGACACCTCCAAGTACACGGGCTCCCACAAGGAACGCTTTGACGAGAGCGGGAAGGGCAAAGGAAAGAGTGGGCGGGAGAACATCGTGGACAACAGTGGCTACGTATCGGCCTACAAGAACGCTGGCACCTATGACGCCAAAATGAAGAAATAAGGGCAGCTAACCCAGCACATGCCTGTGCAGAAGAAGGGGGCGCCCCAGTGACACACCCTTGCATTGGGGGGGGAGGCTTCTTGCTGGGCCTACTCCCTGGCTCTGAGTTGTAGAATGGAAGGGTTGCTGCTGTTCTCCACCTTGGCCTGGCCTTTTGCTTCCCACACCCCCAGACTCGCATCTGTAACACTCTGTCTCAGATTTCAGCCCCGTGCTCTTCCTTACCCCTCAACAGCTTCTCAGGCTTCGCCAACCCACCCACTTGCTCAGCTGGGATCATCAAGACTAAATATGGCTCCCACAGGGAAAGCTTCTTGGGTTGAGCTTCTGCTTATCACGTAGCAGCTGTTAAAGGCACCAGGGGGCTGTGAGGGAAACAAGGTGGCTGCCTTCCCCACAACTTGCAAACCTCTGAGAATGGCTCATCAACCTCTCTACGTGGGCCAGCACTCAAGTCCTCTCACCTGGCCTGTAACCCACCCTCACCAACTTGATTGGGCTGCAGCTCCCGTTGTGCATAGCCAACGTGGCACTCTTGTCTGGCGTAATGGGAGTTGTAGTCCCACACATCTGAAAGGTGACTGGTTGGGGAAACCCTGCCCTCTGGCATCATTTCACCGCTTCTGAGCTGTATAAGTAAAGCCGTATATGAATAAAGCACTACTAAATATATTCCTCAAATTACTAGAACCTGCTGTCTTGTAGATCCTGTTCCCCTCACCCATCAGTGAGGTCCTATGGCCCTCCCACTGTTGCTGAAGTATGCCTAGTTACACTAAACTATGGTTTGTTCAGCTACGCTTATTCAATAAGCCCCTGCTGGCTGGGTTACGGGAATGTGTGAAGCTAAACCCAAACAAAGCAGCTTATGGTTCGGTGCAATCTCTGTCTTTCAACAAGACTGGGCAAGGAGACCTTGGGCTCCCGCAGTATCTGGAAGGCCACAATTTCCCTTCCTTTGAACTAAGCCACGATGTGTGGGTTTGCCTCTCATAACTGGATTATGACTTAGCATGATAAGACAGCTAGGCGACGCTGGACCTTCTCCAGGACTGTTCCTGTTGTGAGGCCCGTGAGCAAGCTGCCATCTCCTCCCTGGTGCGTTCCGCCTGCCCCTTCCAAGAAAGCTTAGCTGGCATCTCCTTCTCTTGCTCTTGAGCTATTTCTGTGTCATGGAGAAGGTAGAAGAATGGTGGGGGAGTTGTTTGGCTGCCAGCCTGGAATTCCCTGCCTGTCTGGGGGTGGCCTTTGTCCAGGCCTCTGGGGATCCTTGGTGGCCAGGCTCCAGCTGCTGGTTTTCTGGCCTTGCTGCTATTTTCTCTCTCACATCTGTCTCTGACTGGTTTTCCCAGCATGGATTCCTCCTCCCTGCCTCTCTTTTGGTTTGCGCACCTGGGCAAATGGCACTGCCAAGGGTGCATGTGACATGGCGTTGTGCACATCATCACGTCATCACCCAAATGGGGCAAAAGACATAATTTGCATAATTGTGTAATGATGTAATACACATGCTGTGGGCTTCACCACTATTCCACTAAGCTGACACAATTTTTCTGTTCTTCCTTCCCTGGAACCTTCCTTTTCTTGACCCCCTGGAACCTTCCTTTCCCAGGGGAAAATGGCTGATTTTTAACCAGTGCTTGCTCTCCAGAAGGATACCCAGCTTGGATTCACACACCGAACGTAGCCATATTGTAGTTTGCTTGATTTTTGGTGCAGCGTGTTAGGTCAACCCAGTCACTGTGGCTTGCAAAACAGTGTTTATGGCTTAGTGGATTGCGGGAGTCCAGCCAATGGAGGAGTTATGTTCAAGAACTGTGGTTAAATGAATTGTGACTTACTCTGACGTGCAAACCAGGCCGCTGCAACAATGCAGGGGGAACCAGGGCTTCATCAACCAAGTCTTGCAAACAGTGGGAGCTACCGAGGCAAACACAGTCTCCAAACTATATATGTCCACCTTGTATCTATCCGTTGCATGGACATCTAGATGAGTAAATGATACCACATGCATAATGATGTCATCCTGCAAATGACATGACTTATGTATTTAGGTCAGACGTCATGACATAAATATGTAACTCTGTCATTTGCACAATGATGGAATGATAAGTGATGTCATTTTGACATCCCCATGGCTTCTTAGAGATGTCTGTCATCCACATCTCAATTTTCTTCCAGCTGCTCAAGCTGATGGACCTGGTTCTGTTATCCCAACAACCCATTAAGACGGGCAGGTTATTGTGAGAAACATGACAAGGCGAAACTCACTTTGTGGACTTCATCATGGCGAGTGAGGGATCACACAGCCAAACAAGCCAGCTCACACGCATTTTGTTACATGGAAAAGTAATATGAAAATGAGGTCTGAAACAACACCATTTTTGTATTTTTGAACTGAGTGTACCAAAAGGATCGGCTCAAAAGGATGTCTCCAGTGATGTGCAAAATGTTTTGAATTCAAACTCTTGGATTTGAAACACCCCATTTTGAGCACTAAAAGTTGCTTTGATCATTTTGGAATCGTTCTGAGCTTGAAATTGTCTTGCTGTAAGTTTGAAACATCATTTTAGAAATATTTCAGACTTGAAGCAGCTGTTTCAAGTTCAAAACGGCTGTTCTGAGCTTAAGACTTGTCAAAAGGTTGAAACCGTCTATTTCAAATGGAAAATGACAATTCCAAAGTTGAAATAATTCAACATGTTTTGCACTCCATTATTAGATATCCTTTTTACAAGACAAAGCAAGCAAAAAATAAGTGCTGGAATTATTTAGAAGCTGGACCCAAAAATGGAACATCTATTATTGGTGACAACTGTAGGGGAAATAAACTAAGAATTTGTGAGTGAATAAATTCATAGCAAAATTCCTTTTCTTGTCACTGAAGCCACTGGCTACAAAAAATTTCAGTTTCCTACAATATAACATTACATCAAAAACCCTAAAGTATAATTAACCTTAATTTTGTTTTGCTACAACAAACTGGTTTCATAAACCATGGTTTGAAGTTGGCTGGTTTCAGAACAGAACAAACCCTTCCCAGCCCTTTGCAGCTACACTAGACAAGTAGGAAAGATGGCATACACAGGAGCCTGGGGGACGGCTAGGCTTGTTCATGTCCCAATAAACCAAGGTTTCCTGCGATGTCCAATCACAGCCACCGTGATCCTAAGCACAAACTAATGTGCCTGCTTGCATTTTCTTGTTTAATCGTGTGTGTGCTGGATTTGGGGATGTGTTATCCCGCATGTGTTTAGAAATATGTAGGTGTGTTTAAGTTGCAACGCTTGCCCACGCAACCACTACATCAACTCAGAAGGACAAGGTCCTGGAGCCTCACTGCATAATTTATAAGGACAATAAATGCATGAAGGGTGATCAGTAGGGCTTTCCGCTTAAAGAAGAAAGGGAAAGACCTTCCAGTTAACAAGCCCTTTACTGCCAAAATACAGTAAAAGGAGACTGGATCTATTGCTCTCAAAGCAAGGAAAGCCTTTAATGGAAGAATTAGCCTTTGGCAGTTCCAGTTGAGCAAGGGGTGTGAATTTCTGCACAAGCACCGTGAAGCAAGCTTTTAAAATTGCATGAGAAACAATGGCGATAGCCAAGGGAGCGATTTCCACCGGCTGTTAAAAAGCAGCAGGATACAGAGTGACAGGAAGGGCCAGCAGACAAGAGCGCCATCTTGGGACAAATAAACATTTTTTATGATTTCGAGCCTCTCCGATGCCTCTCTCTTCACACACTTACTTTGATCCTGTAGGCTTTGAATTCAAATGAAGCAAGAAAGGGTTGAGCTCATTGAATCACAAAAAAGACAACTGCCTGGTCCGGGAAGGCAACTTTCAGCCTAGATCCAATGGAGAAAAGGAACTGAATAAGGATGATTAGTGGAGGAATCGGCTAGGAAAAGAAAGTAACGGGCAGAGGCTTACACTCAGACAATGCATTGCTCCATTAGTTATTCTGGTTAGGAAAGCATAATTTTGTAGGCAGTGGACAGAGAACGGTTATCCCAAGACATGTGGTTGCCACACATGGCTAAATCACATAAACAGGAACAAAAGCTGAGCCCTGTTGGGTGAGGTCAAAGGTCTATTGATGCTGTTCTCCTGGACTGAACAGATGACTCTTGGAAGCTGAGAAGAAGGCCCAAAGGGAATAGACAATCTTCATGCATAAGATATGTCTTGTTTTCTGGGGATTTGCATCCATTTTTCATTACCTAGAGTGTGCAATTAATATTTCTAGCCAGATGAGTTTGGGGAAAGGGAACCTCAGCCCCCAACATGTATCTTCCCATTCAAGATGAGCACATCAAGTTTCTGGGATGACTCAAGAGATCAGGTAAAACAAGTACAGAATCAGGAAGATAACGAATAAGCCTTGTAGTACTTCAACAGGGGTACCACACCTGAGCCAACATGACCACTAACTGGCAGTAGAGGTGCAGAAAACTAACTTGGCTGCTATCTCGTGATGATCTGGACTTCTGTTGCTCAGATATGGTAAGATGAACTTGAAAAATTTTCAGGGCCTTCAAACACACCATTTTCCCAAGCTTTCCAATAAGCTTGTGCAGTTGGAAGAGCAGGTGAGACCAAGGGAGTGGCTTATTTAGGAATATCAAGAAATAAATCTTATATTGAGAGATGCCGGCGGATTGAAAGCAGACATGTCTCCTAGCCCCACCAAGAAATGGAGCTTCATGCAAAGCAGGAGTCTACCGCTGAACTATAGTCCTTCCTTGCTACCTTTAGAGCTGATGTGAGGTTTGTTGGAACTGCTGTAGCTTGTAGCACAGGAACCCCCACCCCCCCAAGCAGTTAGCCTAGCTGTATTTTTGTCTGTTTTAGGATTTTGACAGTGCTGTGGCATTCCAGCAATTTTTTGCAGTATCTCTCGCTGAAAGAGTTGCTCCTCTCAACTTCCCAGTTGGAGAAAGCATTGTAACTGCAGCAGGAAGAAGTAGGGGCAGAGTGAAAAGATGTGCCAATGGCTTCCTGGTTTAATCCTATGTTAGTTACCCAGAGTCACAATTTATGTTAGGAATGTCATGTGAATTGATTAAAGGAAGAACGAATGAATGCATGAACAAATAAATAAATAATCTCAGAATGCTTAACTTGAGTACTAAATTTGCATATTTCTGAGCTTCACACTATAATGAACCATGAACTAACCAAATGGGTCAGGTCTGTACGTGCTAAGCCACACGTAATGAATAGAATTAAATTTAATCCTATTTAAAATTTTGTTTGAATGTAGGTGCTAGGACTTTAATAGTTTGATTAAGCGTGGCGTGCAAAAGCAGGCCATATGTTTTTTTTGTGTGTACTTCTCAGCTTGGTGTATTGGAAAGCCCTCCTACTAATTTTCAGTAATCATATCCCTGATATTTATTTCTGCAGTTGGAAGGGAATTTGGGCAAGTTTGGGGTTGGGGGGAGGAAAATCCAAACTCTTAGATTAAAACTTCCAGTCTAGATTTGGAATAGATTACTGTATTAAGAATAATTATGTATCTCTCAAAACTACAACACAGGAAGAACTCTGAAAAGTATAGTAGAGTCCTACACATATTTACTCAACGCCCCTGTTTACTGAGTTGAAACTCAGTTCCTGTGTGATTTTTCCCACCACCAGATGGAGCTGTAGAATTGTTATTCATTTGATTTTTTA